TGCACTTCTGGAACCATTACTTGCATCCATGGGTCTATTAAGTGTATGATCTACCCAGAAAACCTCTGCTGGGCAACTTGGTGCTGATACAATCATGCTAATGGTATAAGGTGTTACTACTACTGGCAATGAAACAGGCAACATGAACTCTGACCTGTGACATGCTGGAGACAGGCTCTGAGCTTTTCTCCACATCTGCTTCAGCCAGCCATCATCCTTCCTATTCCGGCTGATGGTTTTGTCTGAACCCAGTCAAGGTGACAAACCATGATGAAGAACCCACAGTTCACAACTGAACAACAGGCCATGGGTTCTCTTTGAGGGTTGCTTGTGGTTAATAAGCCATGGCTTGTTAGCGCCACTGGGTTCAGAGAACACAACTACCCACATTTCACCAAAAACCCATGGGTTATCGACAACCCCTGCACAACCCTTCAACCCTGTCATTGCCTGAAGCTTCTCACTTTAGTAAAGGGCCACTCGGCCTCTAACCACTAGGAGAACGTGCATAGGAGCAACTTTGTCAAGCACCCGAGTCAACCTCACCTTTCAGAGGGCCAACTGGGCAGGTGTCGTCTTACAGCCTCAACTGGACATCACAGCGGGGTGACTGGAAACCAACTGACCTCATCAACCATGGACAGCAGCCCATACCGGTAGGTTCCTTATTGCTACAGGACTCAGCAGATGTGGACCCAAAACTACTTGGCTGTAACATGCTCGGTACGGATAGAACATCTTTCAGGCCCATTCTTGTCAAGGGCATAACCTGCTTAATGCATCTTCTACAGAGTGGCATGAACTGATTGTCATGGTGGCAACGAACCTTTGGGCATGTCTGAGGGAACTGGACTGGATATTTAACCCCTGAGAACAAAGAGGTCTGCAGGGTGGTCCCCACACCCAAATCCGTGTCAGCCCTGGTAACTTGATTTTGCAGTGATGGGACATGTGCGTGGTGAGTTCCCAAGTTTATTTTCCCCCACTATATTAAAAACTCCCCAACTATACTTGGCGGTGGCAAGATGTTTTATGATCTCAATGAACATTGTTGCCACACTGAGAAGGACCAGAGCATGTCACTCTCCTGTCTGTGGGCTCTGCTTTTTAATTTCGCCAGTGTTAGTGCCTTGCTGGGCACTGGAACTGCCATGAGCCAAAGGCTGGATTATCTGGGGGATTTCTGAATTCATTGCCATGCAAGCATATTAATTGTGCAGGTGTATTTGACTGACTGGGGGTGGGGGGTGGGGACAGGTTGCTTCTCCTGTGCAGACTCCATCGAAAAAGACACGGACAAGAAAAATGAATCTCTTTTTGCCACGATGATGCTACTGGACAGGAAAATAAGTTATTAAAACATCTGCTATGTACATATTGACCCATGCGTGTTCCTTGTGATAGCATGTGCAGTGGACTTTGACCCAATGGCGTAGACCTATGATCTGCAACTAGGACACAGCAGATGCGTTTACCTTTTGCACTCATGCCATGGCAATAGGACAGCCTACTCTCCTTTTGTTTACGGTGGGGGAGCATGGTCTGCAGGCGGTGGAAAGCTATGCTATATTTAAACCACGTACTCAGTATCAGGTTAGGATTTAGGAGGATTTTTTAAATAGCCCATTGAACCACAAATGGGCAAATTGATAATGTAGTTGGACAAAGCCGCATGGGCAGAACTTTCAGAAGAATCAATTAAATGTTTCAAATTATACCCAGCAATCACCCCTTGATCTTCTGTTTTTTGACAAGATTTGTTCTAGGCACAGATGATAGCAAACTGCCTACTGCTGATAACATTATAAAAAGCTGCTTAGCATTACACAGGGTAGAAGGGAATCTTTAAAACACTCACTTTACCCGCAGAGGTAAAAGACACTAACAAAATTGTTTTCCCACTGTCTTTTTCCTTCCTCGATGGGCACTTCTGTTCTTTGCTATTGTAAATCATTGCAGGAGGTGTTATTTTCTTCTTTCAAAGAACACTGAGAAATGTGATTTAAAAACAAGATGTCATCATTGGCGGGGGGAGCCCCATAAATGCTCACCTGGCCATGTAAGTATCATGCACTCAGTGACAAAACATGTGCTTTTCATGGAAAACCCCCCAATTTCCAAGCAAGCCAAAGGTGATTCTCCAATCTCCAAGCAAGCCTGGAAAAGGACCCTCACTCTGAGCCTTGCTATCAAATGTGTGCGCATATGAAAATAGCTACAGATCCCAGTGGGCCACTTAATATAAAGGCACACACACGGCACATGTTCTGATAACAATTCTTCCACAGCACTGGTATCATGATCAAAACTAGGAGCATATTATGAAAATCATAAGCCCTAGGCCAGGACGTCAAGAAGAGCTTCTTTAACTGCTAATTCTTTTAGAGATAAATTAGTAGGCCGAATCACTAGTGCTGTATCATGGAAAGGATGTTCCCTTGGCAGTGCTCTTCTTAGCCTGATAAACAAATCAAAACTAGCCTTGGACCAAGGAAAGCTTTGTTGAAATGCCTTTTCTGGCATAATGTGAATTACATTTCTGGTAATCTCAGTATGGACAAATCTAATAATGTGGTTTCTTTTGATATCATTTTTGCCTTTCTTCAAAACTGGGTGAAATTTCTCCTGGAAGTAACAACCACATTCTCATCTACTTTGCCTTGAACCCAGCATCCTGGGAACAGGTAAGATATAGTCTGTAAACAGCTTCGGTGAACTGAATTGGACTAAAATTGCAATCTTAGTAAAGCCATGTTTTCCTCTAAACCTGTCTCCCATCTATGAAATGGGTACAAAATGAGGATGAGGTTCTCACAAAACTAAATTTGAACATACAGATTAACGTAGATTCTCAGCCACAAGTTGCTGTGTTGTTTAGTCATCAATTCCCAGTGATGGATTATTCATGAAAACACATTTAAAAAGTAGCAAAACTCCCAGGAACCTTTGTGCACCCTTACTGCACAGCTGTGCTTGGGATCAACATCTGGCAGTTCTGGTCAGAGGAGTCCAAGAACAGACAAGAGGTCCCCCTGTGTGAAGCACTACAGATCATCAAAAGTTCTCAATACTTGGTAAGGGGGACCAGTGGTTCTGCTGAGCTATGTCATCCTTCCTGTTGGACCAACGCTATGATTAAAAGGGTGGCACTGGCTGCCAAGCAGAAACCAAAAGCAGATTTTGTTCAGATGGCTGGGCTGAAGCACAAGAAGGGGTAATGGTAGGCACTGAGGTCATGATGATGGTGTTCTTCCCTGCGGACTGATGTCGGTAGGCTTACTGGGCAACTAGCTGTTGGCCAAAATAAGAAAGGGTGGGAGAGTGTTGAGAAGCACTAGCTGGAGATATTGCCATCCAATCCTTAGATTTTATTTATTTTTAGACTGCCCCACCCCAACAACTTGGAATGGATAACAATAAATTAAGAAACAAAACAAAATACAATATCCAGTTAAATTTTGATCAAACACATCTACAAAGTAACAGATGCTAAAAACTCAGCATTCTACTGGAGGCGCTACAATTCCATTCCCTCCCAAGATGGCAGCCCAAAAGCAAAATGCCTGACAAAGCTTCTGAAAGATCATGCAGCTTTTGGTGAGTCTCCCGCATGAAGGAAGGGGATCCACAGATGTACGGTTCATGCCGTTCATGCCTCTTTGAAAGGCCCAGCTGTCTCAAGTTGGTGCACAGAAGGAAACCTCAAGGGGGCGCTCTTGGCCAACGTTACAGCTGAGATAACCATAGAGGAAGGGAGACAGTCTCTTAGGTATGCTGGACTCAAACCAGATAAAGTTTAGGAAATACACTGATTTTTTTTTAAATAACGTTTCTGTACAGGAGCAGAAATCACTATGCTACATTAAAATAACTTCAGAAATATATATATACATACAAAATTTTTACATGACACCCAAAGGCACTGAGTTGTACTGGGGCTCAGCTCCTTACTCCCAGTTATAATGGAAATAAGCAAATACATATTTCCACCCCAGGGAGCATTCAGAGCATGGAAGCCCCCAAGATAATTAAAACGCCTGCTCCGTAAAGTTGAAAACTCCTGTCAATAAAATGAAAAACAACACTGAATCCTGTGGCAAAACAGGAAGTACTTTCCATGAATTATGTTGAAATAAAATGCCTAATATCATTCCCTTAAAAAGAAAAGAAAGCAGCTTGCTGCAGATCTTCTGAAAGACCCCGAACCGTAACAACTTCTGTGCTGTCTGTTGCTAGAATGATAATCCAGTCAAAAGTTAAGTACTTATAAATCCCATCCATTTCAATGGGAGAGTTAAGCATGCACTTAAATATATCCTGTCCAAGTCAATGGAACTAAGTATTTAACTTTGGCGAGATCTTGCCCATCACTTTTAATCAAAGAGTTCAAGTGTCAATAGCATTATGTCAAACTCTTCCATGGAGAATAATGCATGGGATTGCCTCTTAAAACTCTCTTTTTTTGGTTTTTTTGTTTGTTTTGTTTTTACTAGAAAGATACAGCTCTTTCAAAATAGCTGGTAGATACAGAAAGCTTAACTATACAATAAGGGTTGGACACCGATTGTACTAAATGCAACAATACAAATAAGCAAACGGGAACACAAATGGTAACACAATAAAACTGTATTACATTTGTGCTTCAAATATTACAATACATTATATACATTAGTCCAAAATAAGCATCTCATGCCAAATGACACAAAAAAGGGAGGGAAAGAAAAAGGAGAAACCCCAAAACAGCAAGCCAAACAAAACCAAAACCCTTCAGCAGTATGTACATTATCTTTTAATAAACATTCAACTTTGAACTGGTGCAAGTTTACTACATATATTTGCAGTCCGCCTTTTATTCCACATCCTGTCTCCCTATATCTATGCTATTCAGTAGGTTCTGCCATCATTTCTTATATACATGTTGAACGAGCAACAGAAAATAAAAGTAAAAGAAAAGGGTTAAGAATGTAGTGCTTCAATATTCTTAGCGGTGAGGCATCGTATCAGCGAACTTGGGGTGCATAACCTTCTTTCATTAAACCTTCCTCATAGTCCGTCTGGCACAGAATCATGTTGTTCTTTAGGAAAAATTTGTCTCCCACACAAAACCTGGAAAGACAAGTGGGGTGGGGAGAAAAAGAAAATGAGAAACCCCCCACAGAGGATTCAAATTGCATTACATGATACCAAACAAACCTAAACCAGGTGATGTGTGTCTTTCAGACTTGGATTACTGCATCTCACAAGGCCTCTTCGTTTCTGGACTGAGAAATCAGCCTATTGGGTAAGTATGTTATCCATGGTTTCCTACTAGAAATGTGTACCAACCACAGTATTCAGTTTGGACTCTGATTCAAACATTTCAGAAACAGACCAATTCATCTTGGAGCAATTCTGAAGCTACCCTTTCAACTTGGAAGGCAAATCCAAATTTGGGTCTGGAAATCCACAGATTTGTGTCTTCCACTGAGAACTGTTGGAAATCAGAAAAAACGAGTGCAGCTCTTTTTTGAGGGAACTCTGCAGGCCTTGCCGTCTCCTTGTGGAGGGATGAAACCTATCAAGTGTCAGACAAGTAGATGCAGGGGCTTTAGATACCTTTAAGTTCTCATATAAAAAACCCTGCCAACACTTTTATTTCTTCCTGGCAACTTTTGACAAATTTTGCTGGCCTAGTTGCTCTTCCTGAAGGAAGCCCCTTCTGATGTGGACTAATGTGTTAAGTTGGCCACCTCCCTCCTGCTGCCCATGGCACTGCTGAAGCCATGAGGAAGAGGAAGCAGCAGCCCAGTCATTGGGTTTAGATCCGAGTCCATGTCCTGCTAGATTCTACCACAAAGACTTTGCATTTTCCCCTCCTAGTTGCTTTTCCTTTTCTGTCCTAACTTGAAAATGGTAAACCTGCCAGCAGGGATCACTTGTAAGTGACTTTGGAGTCCAGCTTTTGGGATAATTTACATGACAATGGCACACATTGTATAGGTATCCCAGGATAAGGAACATGCAAAGTTTTGGAAGGATAGGTGCAGAGGCAAGTGACTTAAAATGAATAATTTAGAAAATTAAGGCTTTGTTTTGTTTTTTAAGTGGATATGTGGAAGATCTAGTGGCAAAGGCAGAAAGATGTGAACATCTGGCATTTTTTCAAGCCAGCACCCAATCCTACAGCTTCCCCAAACTCCACCAAAGCTCTTAATGTGCCTGCTTTGGGGAGGGAGAATTAGCAAAGCACAATGGATTCTGAAAGAGTTCTTCGATACATCACTGCAGCATATGTGAGAGAAACCAAAGCTCTGAGAATCTTGCTGAAACCTTCACTATGATTAGAAACTAGAGCTACCAGTCATAAAGCTATAGCCCCTCCCCTCCCTCCCTCCCAGTGTTCCCTTTGTATGGCAAATATGGGGAGAAATGTGTGTACTTTTGGAGACACACTGCCTGGATCTTTGCGTCACTCCAAGACCAACTTGGCTAATCAAGCTTTGGAGGGCTCAGATCCAGATTTGCTTCTCTTTGGAAGAGTTCTGCTTCAAGTTGGACAGCTGAATTTTTTCCAGCTAGCCCCAGTTTTCTACAGGATTCAGTCAAAAACAAAACAAACCTAGAGTTTTTACATGTGCAACAGAAAATCACCATCTTTTCCCAGCAATACAATAAGTACTCAAAGAAGAGTCCTTACAAGCTCAACAAAATCCAAGCAATTGGGTAGCATTTTGAGCCATGCAAAGGAGAGCAGGTAATTTTTGTCCCGCCAGATGTTTTGGCCTACAGCTCCCATCAGCCCCAGCCATAACAGCCAATGGTGAGGGATCATTAAAATTATAGGCTAAAACCTCTTGAAGGCTGCCCACTGTTGATCTAATGTGCTCTTTGAATGTTTTCTCGTTGTAACCCTTGTAACATCCACAGAAGGGCAGGCAGTGTGTATCACTAGCAAAGGCCAGTGGGTAACTGGCTTGACCACGCATGGGTGCCTCAGCCGTTCCCAACCTCCAGCCTTCCGCCCAACTTTGAAAGTGATGAGGAAATGGATTGCTGCACACCTGCATAAACATGCAGGTGGCAAATTTTGCATCAGGTTTGATTCACTGTTCTCCTTCCTCTCTTTCCCTCTGGGCTTACAATGTGGTATTAGGCTTCAACAGCATGGCAAAAACCGCACTGGATGGCTTCTTCATGCTCACTCATTTTTTAGATTTATATCCTGCCTTTTTCCTCTTTTAATGAACTCAGGGTGGCTTTGCATCATGCTCCTCCTCCTGCTCTCAATCATCTCCCAACAACCCTGTGAGGTAGGCTGGACTGAGAGTCTGCAATGGGGCCTGAGTTGCCCAGTTGGCTCCATGGCTGAACAGGGACTAGAACCCTGATCGCCTGAGTCCCAACCCTGTACTCTTAACCACGCCACCACTCTGGCTCTCAATTCAGTCTACATGCCCACAATCACACGTTTGGGGGCCTGAGAGGGGTCATGTGAATGAGCCAGAGTAATTTCACACTAAGTGTGGCATATTGCGTTGCTCCCACAATGGGTTTGCTTTCTTTCGAAAGAGGGAGGGGGAGAGAGAGAAAGTTCTCTTTAAGGGAAAGAAAGAAAGAAAGAAAGAAAGAAAGGAAGGAAGGAAGGAAGGAAGGAAGGAAGGAAGGAAGGAAGGGACCCCCCCCTCAACACAGACACCAAGGGGTCTCTTGGCGTACACACGAGTTTTGCTAATGAATGATTTTGCATCGGGGGTCATATTCTGTTTGTGGCAAATGCTCCATCTATAAAAACATCTTGGGAGGAGCTATGTGCGACATTCCAATTAAAAGAAAGAGAGTCACCCAAATGAACTTCTTAGCATTGATGTGGATAGATGAAAACTAGTTCCCCTCAGCTAATTACCCACTTTAGACTAGAAAGTATTGTTTAATTCGGTAATGGATTACAATGTTCTTTTTTGTCGTATAATTTTCCAAACAGCGACATCTTGGACACAATTAGGAGTAGAAATAAATGTGGATTGTTTACGGTAGATTTAACAACAGAGTAGCTACGGGAATAGGCTGTATATGTACTTAATTGTAACAATTTAACCTTCAAATAGCAGTGTCTGGTGTAGTTGACCCAGTAAAAGTACATATAATTACACATATTGACCTTCCCAACCTCTGATAGCTGCCCCCTCCCTTTTATCAGTCAGTCAGTCAGTTTCTAATGATGTTCGAAGCAGAAATCTGAGGGAATTGTCACAGAGTAAATTGTGTGTTGAAAGGAGGCCTTTAATGTTTTGTGAAGTTGTGAGGTTTTAAATGGAGCAGCAGTTGGACTGATTTACATTTGTAAAGATTGGAATGCTAGACAAACGGCGAACCCATTTATTTTCCAACTGGGTAGCTTTGGAAATTTATCCTTATGCTCACTAAATAGAGTGAGGGAAAATAGTGTAATAAAAAAGTGGATTGAAAAGAATTAGCTTGGCTCCTGAAGGAAAATTGGGCTGTTTATTTGTGGACTTTCCTCCCCCTCTCAACCCTCCCCACTCCTTTCTCTTTCTCTCTTTCCCCCATCTTTGGATTAATTCCCACTCACTGTGTTTGACTGAAAATACAGATAACAGAAGGGTTCTGAAAATGTTTAAGTTATTTATGGTCAAACTGGTTTCATAGAAAGCACACTCCTCAATCCAGATCTCTTGCACGCTCAATGTATTTATTTTTAAATATCTCATTATATTCCACCTACATTTTACTGAATGCAGCATTTGAAAGTAGAAGACTGCAAAGGCACACCAGCTTTTTCCAAACTCTAGTTTTGCAGGTGGGGAGGACCTTAAAAGTTTTGCTTCTGCTCTGCTAACACAAATCAGTTTTTTTCTGAAATTAATCAGCTAATTTTAATTGGCTCATTTTTGTCCCAGGTTACTCAGGAGTTGCACCATCTTCCTATCATAACAGTATCTATTACTAAATGGGTTTCCACCTGCCACTGTGGATTCCTTGCAAGAAAAAAGGGGAAATCAATGTATTTATATTATTATTATTATTATTATTATTATTATTATTATTATTATTATTATTATGTGCATATATATATATATATGCACACACATTTTTAAAAGCAATTCACTTGAAATCATAACTGCGCAGGTTATGGTGGAAAGAGAATAAAAGGTTGTGGATCCATCTTTAGTCCCCTTTCCAGCTTTCCTCTTCCCTCCCATCTCAGCTCAGTGCTTAACATTGCAATGAGAGGGAGGCGCCGTCTCTCAGGGGGACCCACAGCAGCATGGCGTTGCCCCTCTTGTCCCAGAGTGAGTTCAGCTTCGGCCTTCCCAAGCTGGCACCCTCCAGGGCAACACCCATCATTCCCAGACAGCGTGGCAGGCTGCTGCACCGCAACACGACAATGGTAAGGTGCATCCTTTCCGCAGCTGATAAACTCGGCAGTTCCAGGCAGTGCCGATAGACATGCTGCAGTCCAGAGATGGGGGGATTTGTTTTCACCCTCTCTTCCTTTGAAAAGCCACTGCCATGCAGGTAATGCCAACTGGTGCCACACAGTGCTTCCTGCTCTCTCTTCTCTCTCACTTTGTGCAAAATGAGCTTCTCCACCCCAGTGACAAGCCAAGCTTGCAAACACACTGCAAGCTCACCCACAGCAAAGAGGGCAGCCGTTCCCTGCCCTGCTCAGCTAACAGGAGAACGGCTGTGAAAGCACCGAAAGGGCCACCAAGTCACTTCCTTCACTACGGCATCAACTTCTCGAGTTTCTACCTTCCCAGGGTTCTGGGCCCACTGAGTGGAGAACAGGCCCATCCAGCACAGTGCTGACTCAGCCTGGCAGTGGCCCCCTCCGGCTGTAGTCGTCCAAAGACTTGGTTGTAAGGAGGGCTCAAACCAGTCTCCCATCTCAATCATCACAGGAAACTGCGGTTTAACAGGCAAGCTGAGGGATTTCAAGAAGGGGTTGTGTGCAGGCACAACCCTCATTTCTGGCTCCAATGCTTTGAAATCAGATCAGCACTCGTCTTACACTATCGTTCTTCCATCTACCATGCCACTGTTAAGGGGACTATTCTGCAAGGTGGAAAGTGCAGGTTGGGCCCAATGGTTTTGCTTCCCCCCGC